AGTAGATGTCAGTTAATTGCGCTTGAAGTATGGCCTTACTTAATTCAGTAGCTTCTTTGCCAATCCTCTGGTTAGTAGACCTGTCCTTTGGTGAGAGTGGTGTGTTAAAGTCTCCTAGTATTATCATATTGGGATCTATTTTATTCTGTAAGTTTGAGAGCGTTTGTTTAACATATCTGGGTGCACCAATATTTGGGGCATATAAGTTGATGATGGTAATATCCTCCTCTTGGATTGTTCCCTGTATTAATATGTAGTGTCCGTCCTTGTCTTTCTGTACTGATTTTAATGAAAAGTTTATTTTGTCAGATATCAGGATAGCTACACCTGCTTTCTTACTGGGGGCATTTGATCGGTAGATCCTTTTCCAACCTTTCACTCTGAGTTTGTTTGTATGTTTGGCTGAGAGGTGGGTCTCCTGAAGGCAACAGATGGATGGGTCTTGTTTTCTGATCCAGTCCTCAGTTCGTTTTCTTTTAATTGGCGAATTCAGCCCATTTATATTAAGAGAAAGTATAGAGAGATGCATTGTTGTCCCTGTCATTCCGTTTTCCTAAGTTTTTCTTCTTTCCTTTCCTCCTGTGCTTGTTCAGTTAGACTTTGAGTAATGCCTGTCTGGGGCAGGTCCCAGTTCCTGGTTGCTTTCTTCAGGTTGTGTCCCCCCTCTTAGAATTCTTTGTAATGCTGGCTTAATGTTTATGTATTCATTTAGTTTTTCGTTGCTATTAAAAGTTTTCAGTTCTCCATCGAATGTGAATGCTAGCTTTGCCGGGTATATCAGTCTGGGTTGGCAGTTATTGGCTTTCAGGGCTCGTATGGTGCTTTCCCAGGCTTTTCTTGCATTCATTGTTTGTGTGGAGAGATCTGCAGTGATTCTAATTTTTTTCCCATTGTAGTATAGCTCCTTCTTCATTTTTGCTGCATGCAGGATTGTTTCCTTATTATTCAGATCTATCATTTTTACTATAATGTGTCTAGAAGTGTTTCTCCTGGAATCTTGCTTGTTGGGTGTTCTATACGCTTCTGTTATGTAGGTAAGATGCTCCTTTTTGAGGTGGGGAAAATTTTCACTGATTATCTTGTTGAATAGGTGTTGCATTCCCTTGCTCTGGAATTCCTCACCTTCGTCCACTCCAATTATACGAAGGTTAAATTTCTTGGCATTATCTGCTTGCTCTTGAATTTCCCTTTGGTTTAATTTGAGTGATTTTTCCATATCTGTCACTTTTTGGTCCAGTTGGTGTATTCCTGTCTTCTGTATCTGACACTCTACCTTCCATTTCATTCACTCTGTTGACCGTGGCTATTGTGGTTTGCATGGAGGAAATGGATCCCTTTATGGATTCAATGTTGGTACTCATAGTACTGATCTCAGTATGCATTACCTCTAATTTGGCGTTTTTCTCACTTCTTACTGAGGTTTGTGCAGCTTCTATTTTTGCATGCATCTCTTGTTTGATATCCTATATCTCTTTTGATAGTGCATCCTTGTGCTCTTTCAATTTCTGATCAATTTCTCGCTTTATTTCTTGAGTCATTGCCTCCAGCAACCCTTGGATGTAGCTTTTGTCTTCCATTCCTGCTTTGCTCCCACTGGGGCTCTCCCCTGCGTGCCTGCTGGCAATTGAAGTTAGCTTGCTGTCCTGGGTGGTGGTAAACCTTGTAATTTTTCTCTGTGATTTTCGCATGTTTTGGTGTGTCTGTCTTTGCTTGGTTGCTGATTCTGTGTTGGTAGAGAGAGTCTGTGCCTGATCTGGGTTCTGTTGGAAGCCTATTTCCAGCTGCTGTTCTGACCTACTTAGGATTCTCGGCTCTCTGCTGTAGATTGCTGGCAATTCCCGCCTTTGGAAGGGTTGAACAGCCTAGACTGCTTGTGTTTGCTCCTACGGGTGCTCTTGGGAAGATCAGATGCTTTGGATGCACTCTCCCAGATACTGGAGTCTGCTATGGGCTCCTGATGTGTTTTTGTTTGTTTGTTTGTTTTGGGCTGGTTGTGGGCTTGAACTCTAGGTTTGGGTGCTGTCCCTCAGCTCTTCAGCTCAAGGCTGGCACCCTACCATTTGAGCCACAGCACCACTTCTGACCCTTTTTGCTTTTGTGATGCTGAGGAATCAGATCCAGGGCCTCATACATCCAAGACTATGCTGAGCCGCCTTATCAGCCTGAGCTCCTGCTTACTATCAGGTGCTGGCGGCCTGTGTTACCCAATTCCCAGACTAGAGTATATGGGTGGGGTTTTGGTGGGGTTTGGCCTTCTCTTGTCCTGAGCCTCCAAGTCTTTTATTGTCACAGGCGTGCTTCCCAGGGGAGTGCTGTTCCCTGTTTTTCTCCCCTCTGCTGAGGCGTATGCTCAGCTTTTGACTTCAGTTGGGAGGAGTTGGTTGTGTTGTTCAGGTGCCGGATCCCCAGGCCTGGTTCCAGCCCCCCGCCTGGAGCGCGCTTGTTAGGCCTGTGCTGCTGTGTATACCACCTAGGTTATGCAGCCTGGGGTACACAGTTCAAATTTCTTCTACTGTTGGTAGTCTTGACCCAGGGGCGCTGTTCCTGGCTTGGGCATTTAAGCTCCCTTCCAGGGGCGCTCTTGCTCTAGCCTGGCCAGCAGAGTGTGCTCCACGGGCTGGTGGAGCTCTCGAACAGTTCCCAGTTTTAGTGGGTCCTGTGGTCCGGGTGTTGGGGTAGGGAGTCTAGGTCAGGGTCTGGGGATTCCCTCCAGCTCTGGTCTCCCTTGAGGGATACACTGTCCCCTGTGGGGTACTCACCCTGGAGCTAGTTGATTCTGTGTGGTGTAGGTTGTCAGTTGCTGTTGCAATCCAAGTTCAGTTGGGGTGGTTGTGGGCTGGGCTGGGCGGTGGTGGCTCTGTGTGATTCTTTTCTGTCTCTGCCTCTATCGAAGCTGTCGGGTCCACAGTGTCCACGCTCAGGCGGCTTCTGCGCGGGTGATCTGCAGGCAGCCCCCTATGTCTCTGGGACGCCGGGTTGTAGAGATCGGTGGGTCTGACGCCAGTGCCTCAGGCTTTGTCACGCTGCCGGTGCCGGGCGGCTTTGGCAGGATGGAGCCTCTCTGCTCGGGTTCTACATCCTGATTTGCATCATGCTTGCTCTATTTTTACATTCCTACTGTCCATTAGAGTCCCTTTTGTCCCACATCCTCACCAGGAAAATTATTTTTCTTCCTGATAATGGCCAATCTGATTGGATTGAGATGGGATCTCTGTGATGTTTTGACTTACATTTCCCTTATGGCTAGGGATGTTGAGCATTTTTTAAATTAATTTATTAGCCATCCACACCTCTTCTGAGAAGTATCCATTTAGCTCTTTTGACCATTAATTAATTGAGTTGGGTTTAGGATTTTTTTAGATCCTTGCATATTCTGGTAATTAGACCCTTGCCAGACATATAGCTAGCAAAGATCTCCACTTCTGTGTGGGCTATCTTTTTAACTTAGTAACTATATCCTTTGGTGTAAAGAAGCTTGTTTTGTTGTGTTGGTGGTGGTGGTGGTGGTGGTGGTGGTGGTGGTAGTGGGGCTTAAACCCTGGGCTTGGGTGCTGTCCCCATGCTCTTCAGCTTAAGGTGAGCGCTCTACCATTTGAGCCACAGCGCCACTTCCAGTTTTCTAGTGGTTTATTGGAGACAAAAGTCTCATGGCCTTTACTGCCCTGGCTGGCTTTGGACCAGGATCCTCAGAACTCAGCCTCCTGAGTAGCTAGGATTACAGGCATGAACCACCAGCTCCCAGCAAGAAGCTTTTTAGAATGCAATTCCATTTGTCAGTTCTTACTCAGAAAGTTCTTCTCTATGCCATGAGTTCTAGTGTTTTCCCTACACTTTCCTTATAGTAGTTTCAAGGTTTCAGGTCATTGAAGTCTTTGATTGACTTTGAATAGATACTGGCAAAAGGCAAGAGCTGTCTTTTGCATATGAATATCCAGTTTTACCAGCACCATTTTGAAGGAGATTATCATTTTTCTTTTTCTTTTTTTTTTGCCCGGGGGGGGGGGGGGGGGGGAGGGGGGGGGGTGTCGGTGTCCAGTCGTGGGACCTGAACTCTGGGCCTCGGCACTGTCCCTCAGCTCTTAAGATCAAGGCTAGGCACTCTACCACTTGAGCCACAGCGTCACTTCTGGCTTTTTCTTTTTGCTTATGTGGTGCTGAGGAATCGAACCCAGGGCCTCGAGCATGCAAGGCAAGCGCTCTACCACTGAGCCACCTTCCCAGCCCGAGATGATCATTCTTCTAAACATACACTTTTTTTTACTGCTTTGTTAAAACTCAGGTGACAGTCAATTTGTAGGGTCATTACTGGCCTTCTCGTCTGTTCCACTGGTCTTTAGATCTGTCTGGAATTGTGATACCTTCCGCTACTTCTAATCTAATGAAAGTATATATTAAGATTACTTGTAAGGGGCTTCAAAAATTCTACCTTCTAACAACAATGAAAGTTTCTGTCTGATTCTAAAAAGAGATGTGAATTACTTTCTTTTATCAGTACCCATAAATCAAAGTGAAAATGTGTAACCATATACATAATTGTAGACCATAGGCTAAATAGAAGATGAATTTTGTCTTGGTTTTGTTGTTGTTTTGTTAGTGGTACTAAGAGTTGAACTTGGGGCATTACACTTATAGGTAGATGCTCTCCCAGTTGACCCATATGCCCAGCTTTTTTGCCTAAGTTATCTTTGGGAATTAGGGATCTTGTGTTTATACTTACGTCCGTCTGAACTGTAGCCCTCCTACTTATGCATTCTCCATGGTTAGCTATATACCATCCTTTCCAACTATTCGTTGAGATGGGTCTCACTGCCTTTTAAACTGGATTGTTCTTGAACTGTGATCCTCTCACAAATAGTTAAGATTATAGACATGAGCCACTAGCACCCAGATTTTATGTTAGATCTTGGTAGCAGGCAGGTGTCCATATTATAAATTGAAGCCCTTTTTTTTGTTCTATATGGTACATTGGAAAGTAATTAAAATCTGGATCATATTTTCAGGAATTGGAAGAAACTATCAGACACCTGAAAAAATGTAAAGAGGCAACAGAGAATAAATTGAAAGAAGCTAGCATGGAATCAGAACAGGTGAGCAAGCCCAAGTTATTGTCTAAATCTTTAGGCACGTAAGTCAATGTAAAATCTTTTATTAACAAAGGAATGCAACAGGCAAGATCCATTGAGTTCTAAGGTATTGTTTCTATTGTAAAAGTAATTTTTAGATTAAGTTCTGTGTCTTGATGATAGATAATAGAATTCAAAAATTAATTAATTAATTAAGCCTGATGTCCCTACTACTAAACAGAAGGGAAGACCAGCATGTTTGTGGATTCTGATTATTATTTGACATGAACTAAAAAAAGTGAAAACTCTTGGTTCAAACAAAAACTAATGGTGTAGAGTTTGCCCTATCTAATTTGTAAATGTTATTCTAAGTTCAAAACTTAAATTAACATGTGAGGTTATATTAAGTCATAATTTTTTTTTAAAAATTAAATCGTAATTTTTTATAGTAAGAGAAGATATTTGAAGTCATAGATCTGTATCCCAACCTCCTCTCATTTTCTAGATTAAAAAAAATAGAGTTCGGTGTCATGACTCAGACCTATAACCCTAGCTTCTCAGGAGGCGGAAGCCTAAGGATTGTAGTTTGAAGACTGCCTGGGCAGGAAAGGCCATGAGATGTTTATCTCCAATTAACCACCAAAAGTCCAGAAATCGAGCTGTAGCTTAAGTGGTAGTGGTAGTGGGCTATCCTTAAGCAGAAAAGCTCAAGGACAGTATCCAGATGTTGAGTTTAAGCCCCTGGATGGGAACACACACACACAAAAATAGAGATTCTTAAGCTTAAAATATCACAGTTAGATTACTATCAATTTATTGTTTGTTCTCTATTTTAACTGTTACATTTGCACAATAATGCTTTATTAGATTTGCGTAGAATGGTATATTAGAATATGGATGCTGACAAACCTAAGTTTGAATCCCAACTGTGACACTATGTGTGCTTAAGGAAAATTACATTTACTTTCTTTAGACCATCTATTACCCTTTGGCAAAACTCAGTAAGGTCATACCTACTACTGCTTTATTCTGACAGATAACTCAGAGTGTAAGACTCAGTGAATGTTAACTCCGTCTTGTTTATCATACAATAGGAAATATGATAGATAAAGCCATTGGAGACATCTTTCTCTCCACTGCTGGTAAAGAGCGATTGGAGAGAGTTGGCATAGTTGATTTGGTTGGTTTGGTTTGGCTTGGTTTAGGTGAGTTTCAGGAGTAGGGCCTGTAGCTGTTATCAGAATGCACAAACAGACCTGGAAAATACTTTACCATCAATAAAATAAGTGACACTAAAGAGAGAGTCTCTATTCTGATCTCAGAATAACATGCCTACTCTGTGAGCCGGCTGACGTGGGACAATGCCTGACAACCGCTTGTTGCCACGGTTGCAGAGGAGGTGTTCTGGGGGGGATACCTGAAGGTGGTAGAGGTCCAGGAAACACTGACGAGTACATGAGAAGTGGCAAGCCTGGATGCATTCTTTAACCCTTCATTCAGGAATACTTTCTCAACTTGTAAGGTGCTCGGTGTATTTACAAATAAGATTTTTATTACTTAAGTAAAAAATACCTCAAATTACTAAGGTACCAAGAAGAAGAAGAAAAAAAACCTTTTGTAACTGTTTCTCTGTTCAGATAACAGCCAACCTGGAAGAAGCTCACCGCTGGTTTAAGTGCAGATTTGATGGCTTACAGCTTGAGCTGTCAAAAAACAGGTTGCAGAGGCTCCCCCGGGAAGACAGGTGGCTAGAAGAGGTGAGGCTGACATCGTCTAAAAAAAAGTATTTATTTACTTACTTACTTAGGGGAAGTCTTTTGTTCTGATAGAGTTTTGCTAAGTACCCCAAAATGGAATAGAACTCAAAGCCCTCCTCCCTGTCTCCACAGTACTGGGGACTATATGCGTACACCAACATACCCAGCTCTCGTGGGATTTCTAATCATATTAGTTCTCTCAATGTTCAGCTACTCTCTTATTAATCATTAGATTCTCTAAATTACCACTAGGAAGCCAATGAACTAATTTTTATGCAAGTTTCTAGTAGGTTTTCCAAACTAGATTAAAACTACCATTGGGATAAATATATGACATCCATGGAAGCCAAGAGGTCCTAAACATTGTTGTTAGTGTTGAACAGACAGACTTAAGTGTGTGTGTGTTCATGTGTATGTTTCAGCAGGACCAAGACAACAGGCATGCTATTGAACCCAACCAGTCTGCTCTGCATCGATGGGAGTCAAAGCAGAATCTCGGGCTTATGCCCAAGAAGTATCATTCTGAGACAGAGAGGAAGAAATGACCTTCAAAGGAGCTTCATCATGTGTAGCTATACTTCCACAGTTGGGAGAGCCAGAAACCAGAGCTGGCCTGTTTCTACGTCATAAGAGCATGAAGTCTTCAATGTGGGCTGAAGATTCCGGACCTTAGTTTATTCTTTATGAACTCTTTTATATCACTGCAGAACTAGCTCATCATCTTGTCCTTGTCCCTATTTTCTACCCAATAAATTTAAATTAGTTTGTTATACAATAGGAAATGCTGTAGAATAATACTTGGCTATTTCTATTATATTTTTCTCATTGAGAATTTAGTATGGTACTAAATCTAAGTAATATGATCCTTCATTAGTACTATTTTCACGTCTAGCCTATAATTTCTGGGAATGGAATCCCCTAGGAAAAAATGATAGGAACTCTGCCACTACCTTATAAACTCACACACTTCTATACTGAGTAATTAACTAACAAAGAAAATTTAATAGTAATATCTCTACTCATAAATAGCATGTCTAAAGATTGCATTTAGAGCTTCCTTGGTTTTTAAGAAGTTTATTGAATGTATGAGTCTGCTCTGCTCATGGACCTATGTTTGATCAATGTCACTCTTTCTTATGACCGTAAGCAATAAATTCAATTTTTTTTGTTGTTGTTGTCATGGGGTTTGAACTCTGGGCCTGGGCACTGTCCCTGAGCTCGTCAGCTCAAGACTCTACTGCTTGAGCCACAGTGCCACTTCTGGTTTTCTGGTGGTTAATTGGCGATAAGAGTCTCACAGACTTTCCTGCCCAAGCTGGCTTTGAACCATGATCTTCAAATCTCAGCCTCCTGAGTAGCTAGGATTATAGGCATGAGCCACTGGCACCCGGACTCAGCTTCATTTTTTATTTCAGGTATTTTTTTGATGGATTAGGCACTGGCTTAATTAGCATGTCCAAGTAATGATAGTTTCTGATGACACTATTAGGACCAAAAATAAGCAATTATGATTTTTTAAGAAATATCAAATGTAAGACACTCAGTATTTGAAGAGCCAACCATAGTATCTGACATAGAAAGGCAAAACTGAATGTTATTGCCTGCTGTATAGGAAGGGAGAACTCTGATGGTCAGACCTAGGAGTCTATTAGCAGAGAATTCAATAGCAAGAGGACTTCAGAGGCTTATGTGGGTGGCATCTGTAGCAGAATCACATGGCAACACTGCCATTCATTGGTTAGCATTCAGAGGCATGTGTAGTGAAGGGCATAAACTTGTTTGTCTGAGCCCAGAAATAAAGGGCTGCCATAAGTTGGTAGCTTTAAAACATGTCCTATATGGGCTAGGCAGGAGGCTCAGTGGTAGAGCGCTTGCCTTGCATGCAGGATGCCCTGTGTTCAATTCCTCAGTACCACATAAGTGGTACTGTGGCTGAAGTAGTAGAGCGCTAGCCTTGAGCTGAAGAGCTGAGGGACAGCGCCCAGGCCCAGAGTTCAGACCCCATGACCGACAAAAAGAAAAAATAAAAAAAGAGTGCTAGCCTTGAGCATGAAAGCTCAGAGGCACACACATACAAATCCAAACAGAACCCAGACCCCTGCAAATAATAGCTTTTTTTATGGTTCACTGAAGAAAGATGAATCACTTAGAGCTTATTATACACAAATTTACACAATGGTAAGAAAATGACCAGAGGAGTTGGGAGATCACACAAAGTTCTTAACCCAACTCCATGAAGCACCAACATAGTTTACATGGGCGCCTGAGAATTGTCCACCTGCCTGCATGGGGGCACAGAAGAAAGGGGGAAACCTATGGACAGCTCCCCCACGGGCCAAGTCTTCTTTTGGGCAGCTGAGCTAGTAGTTGGGAAAGAGAGCTGGATACAGAGCAAAGCAAAATCAAAAGGAGCCCCTGCACCTCTGCACTGGCTGGTCCTTACTGGTCCTGTAGCCGTGGCTACTCACTCTGCCCCCAGATCTCATGCATATTTGCCAGATCACCTCTCACTCAGCACAGGAGGAAAGCGAGTCTAGGAAACACGACAGCTCTTCAAGCTGTTCAGTCACACACCAAATGCAACTCTGGAGGCTGAGAGTGGTCTCAGAATTCTATGATGAAATGTTCCAGAATTTGAAGAGAAAATCAGAAATCAGAAGCCACAGTTATGGAGAGATTAAAAGCATGTCTTGAAACTATAACTTGTTTAAAAATTGAGACTAGGAAACTTAAAAGTGACCCGCTCAAAGACTAACACTTTGAGAACTTGCTAAACTGAAAATCAGGAGGGGGATTTTACTGGAGAAATGGACTTAAGGCAAGTGCTACTGTGTTTCTTAAAGGAACTGAAGTTCTCAACCACGGATTTCTCAGCTATGGAATTAAAGTATTCAGAATATTCAAACAATGTTCATGGGAAATCTATGTGTATGATATTGTAAGTGAACCGACATTGGTTGCTATGGTGGTCTTGCTTTCTTAAACTTTTACTGTTACTTGAAAACCAATCCATTTGAGGGAAACTCCATGGTGTTAAGCACATTTTTTAAAAGATTTTTTTTGTTGGAGTATATAGCTTATTTTGTTTTTGGCAGGGAATAAAATTGATCAAGTATAACTGGTAGAGTTAGTGATGGTTAGTGTGTGTATGTAATTTTTTCAATTTCTTATCAGTTCCCATTCAACCTTGTTTGTAGGTGACATGGTACCAGTAAATACTCAACACATATAATTTATGAATCCAAAGAAAAGATAAAACAAAATCCATAAACAGTCATCATTAGAAAATGGCCTATGGTAAAGGCAGGATTAATAGTTAATAGATTTATAGAATAGATTAATAGAACCCTTCTTTCTTCTCCTGAGGAAAAGCCCAAGGGTTCGGCTTCTCCAAACATTATTTACCAGACAACCCACTAGGATGCGGTGTCAGCTGTGTTACCAGTAGAAATGCCCCTTAGCGAGTGAACTAATTATTCCCTTAAACCTGTACTGCTACTGGAGGACCAGAAGTCAGCATGCGGACTGCAAAAAAGACCCTTTCTGATGCCACAATACACGCTGCTCTTATGTACTGGAATTCCTGCCCCAAACACAGCAAGGTTGAGGCCAGGTGAGTTGTGCTGGTTGTATGAGTCCTGCTGACCTGAGACCACTGTGTCAATGAACACGGCAGACATTGTGGTAGTGTTGCAAAGCAGTGGCCATTATTCAGCCAAGTTCACTGAGGGAGCGGACTCTCAGTCAGCCTGTAAACAACCACATGAGTTTCTACCTCATCGTATCTTTCAGTATAATATTCTGTATTAATATACATGTATTATATATTATATACATGTATATAAAGAGGAAATCTAGATGTGCACCAAGAAATACCTGAGATGCCTAAAGTTGGTGTTTGCCTCAAACTCTTCATTCTCCTGCTTCAGCCTCTTCAATTGCTGGGAATACAGGCACATACTACATCTGGAAGATTACTAAATTCTTGACTCCTCTTTGCAGACACAGAATGAGATTTCTGGCCTCATTAAGAAATTAGCTTCCTTTTTTCTTTCTTGTGATTGTTTCTAACATATTTATAAGATGATTTCTTTGTTGCTTTGTATGTCCCTCCCCCATGGTATAACCCCTGCTTTCACTGTATTTGGTGTTGGTATAACTTGTGGAGGGGAAGGGAAAAAACAAATCGTTTAAATAGGGATACAGGTGGACCCATTGCAACAATAAGATGTACAAGTCTTTATGTCGAAAAACAAACTTTACAACTTTGGCTGGAGGCAGGGGAGGGGGAGGGGGAAGGAGGAGGATGAAGGGATGGGAAGGGAAAACAAAGCAGGAGGCAACAATGCTTGATAAGAAATGTACTCATTATCTTGCCCATGTAATTGTAACCTCTCTGTACGGTATTTTCACAATAAAAAAAAAGTGAAAGAAAGAAATTAGACTCCTTTTTGTGTAAGGCAAATGTAGAGGCCCATCTAACTATTCTTCTTTCGTGTGTGTGGTCCTGGAGCTTAAACTCAGAGGCTGGGCACTGTCCCTGAGCTCTTTTGCTCAAGGCTAGCACTCTACCACTTTGAGCCACAGCACCACTGCTGGTTTTCTGGTGGTTAATTGAAGGTAAGAGTCTCCCCTGCTTTCCTGCCCAGGCTGGCTTTGCACCACTATCCTCAGATTTCAGCCACCTGAATAGCTAGGATTGCAGGCATGAGCCACCATTGCCTAGCCCATCTAAGTCTTCTTAGAATATCCTTCAAGAAGGGCCTTGTAAATCCTTCAGATGTTGCCTCTAAGTCTCACAAAAGTCTGTCCATATTTCTTTAGAAGCCTCTTCTTCCACCAGCAACTATTTTCAGCTTCTAGAACCTGAGGTTTCCGCTTTCCAATAGTCCCATTTAACCCTTCTTTCTAGATGTAGTTGGTGTTGCTTTGCTTTCTAATGGGATTTTACTAAGAATTGCAGACAATTTTCTAGGATCTTCCTTACTTTTTAAACACAAGTCAAATTTTAAAACATTTTAATTAATATATGCTACTTGTTAAAAAATAATTCACACCAGCACCAGTGGCTCACCCATAATCCTAGCTCCTCAGGAGGCTGAGATCTGAGGATCGCAGTTCAAAACCAGCCCAGGCAAAAAAGTCCATGAGAATCTTATCTCCAAAAAAACTACTCAGAAAAAGCCAAAAGTAGCACTGTGACTCAAGTGGTAGAGTGTTAGCCTTGAGCACAAAGAGGTTCAAGGACAGCGTCCACGCCTTGAGTTCAAGCCCCAAGACAAGCCAAAAAACTTAATAATAATTCAAGCTGGAAGCTGGTGGCTCATGCCTGTAATCCTATCCACTCAGGAGACAGATCTGAGGATCACAGTTTGAAGCCAACCTGGGCAGGAAAGGCCATAAGACTCCAATTAGTTACGCAAAAGTTTGGAAGCAAAGCTATGACTCAAATGGTAGAGTGTTAGGCTTGAGCCAAAAAGCTAGGGACAGCTCCTAGGCCTTGAGTTCAAGCCCCAAGACAGAGTGTACACACGTTTGCATGTGCACATGCACACACGCACACGCGTGCGTGCGCACACACACACACACACACACACACACACACACCTCACAGACTTTCTTGTTCAGGGCTGACTTTCTTTTTTTTTTTTTTTTTTGGGTCCGGTCGTGGGGCCTGAACTCTGGGCCTGGGTGCTGTCCCTCAGCTCTTCAGCTCAAGGTTAGCACTCTAC